TTGAACGCCCAGTGAAACCCAACCCAGAAACAAGGACATGGCAGCTCGTCCTCCGACCACCAACAAGGACAAAGCAAGTCCAAACCCATGAGAAGCATCAAACAACAAATGAGCCATAATCAAAATATGGTGTATATATATATATATGGATACCAAAAAAAAACAGCTATGTAAAGAAATGAATGCGCGCCGTGACTTTGGTTGGGACTATCCTTTACTAACCTTCATCTCGTTTTCTTTGCGGGTTTGCCCCCTGACAAACACAATGATGCAAGCGGGCAGCAAGGAACCAATTTGTGTCGCCTTCAGCTTTTCCATAGGGACCCAGCACAAAATTGGAGAACCTTTCCGCAAAAGGGTTTTGCCAGGAAACCTACAACAACAAGGCCGGGTTCTCACGGTTGCCTTACTCTCAATACCACTTGTTTCAAGTTTTCAAGGGTATGATTTCAACCCCGTTTTTCAACGTATACCAAGAAATTGGTATTTGAGTGGTGTCATGGGGTTTTGCAAATGCTTGGCTAGGACTCCTTGGCTAAGGCAAAAGGAACAGGCACCCGTTGACCCACTGCCTTCGGCCTTCATTTTGAGCTCAAGGCCCCTTTTTCGACCTCGATGGTCCAAGCCGGAATCTGCCAGTCTTTCTCAGGGAGGTTGTCACTCTCTGACTGACCAAAAGAGGAGGTAACCTACGGAAAACAACCCTATCTGCGCAATATACCCTCAAAAAGGTATGGTGAGTAAAAGCACAGACCACGAGCCGCGGGACCACATCCGTTCTGCAAACGGGCTGATTCCAGCTACGCTGGAAGTTGCCCGCGGGCAAAACGCGCAACGCCGCGTAAAGTCCCGATTGGACACCGTTCTCGTTGCATGCTCCACGCTAATTTGTAGGGGAGTACGCTGGCCCTTGCTTCACGCTCGGTATCATCCCGATCCAAGAATCAGGAAAACACTTCCTTAAACCAACCAGCAATCACGACTAGCTGCTACCATGAGGAAAGGGCACCTCTTCAAATTCTATGCATCAGCAAGGACTATTCAATATATGTGTATCTATATATATATATATATATATAATCTTGGCTTGGAAAGCAACCTCCTTCGGAGGCGCTTGCCTCAAAGTTGCTTTAGGGGCCTATGTATGGGGAGGGGGCGCCTATGACTTCTTAACCCCTTCGCAAGGCCTTATTCAGGGCTTTCTCCTGATTCAGGGATAGCAGCACCCCCCCCCCCAGAAAAAAAAAAAAAAAAAAAAAAAAAAAAACACACACACACATTCCGGTCACCTCTACCATTCCGCGAAGCGGCGGCGCACATGCCAGGCCGCCAGAGCCGGCACTAGACACGAGGCAAAAAACAAGACGCTGCCCTGGGGGAAGCTGCCCAGAACTTGGTGGCACCATCTCTTGTATATCCTCTGTGGCAATAGGCCCCGGGCAAAAACAAGCTAACTACCTTCTTTTTCCTAGCTAGTTAGTGATAAACATATCATGTCCCGAAAAGTTCAAGTCTAAAGATCCAACCAAATAGCAGCCAAGCATCACATAGGCGAGATTGAAGAGCATGAAGCTGATGCGGCACATCCTAGGCAGTTTCCGACTCCCACAGTGCAAACACGTGAGAACCTGTTGCTGGTAAGGAAACATGACGGCAAACCAAAAAAATATGGAAGACATAACCCAGTGCTTCCAGTTGCCATGGTTTCCCCTGGTTACCTACCATAGTAGCTGGAAGCACTGGGCAAGTCTTTGAAAACCTACCGATCGAAAAGGTAAGGCTTTGGTCCAATGCATCCATCTCAGCAACCACATGTGTCTGCAGCTGCTCCTCTGCACGATGCGGATAAGCCACACGGAAAAGGTCAGACCAGTCGGCATGTACAAAAACCTCAGTCCAACTGGGCTTGTCTCCTTCGCGGTTCGGGTCGCTTTTCAGGGACACCAAAAGGAAAACCCGTCCAAACCCCACTGCAGGCTGCGACGTTGATTCTGCAAGAATCAGAGGGCACTTCAAACCCGAAGAAGGCCTTGGAGCCCTATCACACCCTTACGAAATTGCAACCCGTTGAACAGTGCGCCGCATGGATGCAAACAATTCTCGAACCTAGCGCTGAGCAGGGTGCGGAATAAGGGGTCTGGCAAACAGATACTCAGCACACAAAGGCGGTATCCCAATGGGGGGAACCTCCAGTATGGGTGGTTTCCCTTCCTTGTCGCCAACAAACAAAAGGGAGCCTTAAACATATGTGTATATATATTAATATGTATGTAGCTAGGGGAACCCACATTGCTCCGTGTGACTCAAGCCAAGAATCATCCAGCTGATAGTATCAAGGCCAATCATCGAAGCTGCGAGGTACTCACCTTGGAGAAACAACACATTGTATACTTGGATGTTCAAGCCATCGGCCAAGCAGGGGTGCTAGCCCCAGTCACCCATGCGCATAACCTACTTGCTTGGTTGAATATGCAAGTAACCCCCATCTCCAAATACCCGTAGCTCCCAAACCGGGCTTTTTCCATGCCTTTGGGCTTCCCTCCTTCTCATTAGCACCCCAGATTTCAGAGGAAAAACAAACACATGCCACGGGGTCGGAGGAGTCGCGCTTCCCACAAAAGCACACATGGGTGGCTCGTACATTTTTCGGGGGATCGCCAACATGGATTTCGGATGTCCTGCTGGTTCCCTTTAAAACCTCCAAAAAAGGTACCCGCAAAAACAGACAGACGTTACAGAACCCCAATGCGGCGGCAGAACAAAATTCATTGTTTCCAGCAGTGTCCAGTTTACCGGGGGAGAGAACACGTATTCACTTCAGCCTTGTGGATTCGTGTGGGGAATAAGTTCGTCTTTGGAAGTCCTCCCATAATTTAAACCTCCCCCTGGGACAACCTCCTTGTAGTTTCCCAAAACAAAAGCAGGGGCTGGTTGTTTCAACAAGCGGGAAAACAACACACCAACTCAAAGAATCAGCTCAAAGCCATAGAAACTATGGGAAGGTCCCTCTTGGCCCCTCACTACATCTCCGTGTGCTCTTCTGAGTGGATGAATCAAGGGAACCACACTCAAAGACTTCGGCCTTACAACCTTCCCTAAGCATCCCAACTTTTTGGGGGCGGCGTAGACCTGCGGGGCGTGGGGGAAGGTGTGCTAGAGGCCCAAAGGCAATGGGGTTGTCACAGGGACACGCCCGGGGTATCGTTGTGAGGGCCCAAAGCTCCGAGTGCAAAGTTGCACATGAAAGTACCATAATGCGAGCATTCCAGCGCAAACTTCTAGGCAGCCCAGCCACACAGACTTGCAACATATCAAGCATTCAAACATATGCAAAGTTGTTTCTTAAGCTCCGACTACCTACGCTATCCTACGCTCTGTTTCACGCTATGTTCGGGGATGTCTCACTCGATGTGTTCACGCTTAAGCATTAAGGCCGCTGCGTCAAAAGCAAAAACAAGTGGGCCTTTAGAACCGGAATGCTGAAAACTGCAAACAGAAAGAACATATCCCCGAACTAGCTGGCTTTAACATGTGACCAGGTGTTTGCGGTTCTCTACGTGAGGAGTACAAAATTGCGAGCGCGCCAACCTAGTAAATGAGCTGGCGCCTTTTGGCCTGAGTTTTTTGACAGTCCTGCTTGGCCCAAAATGGAACTCATAGTAAAAATAGGATTGTGCGCTAAACATTGCGTTGGCTGGGGCGAACTTTTATCGCTGATATCACCTTCCAGCAGTGCTGGTAACGGGGTAACGATGTGCCTGAAGATAAGTCCAACATGGTCACACCAAGCTTTGTCTAGTCATTTCCGACGCATTCCGACGTTTTCCGATGCTTTCCGACGTTTCCAACGCAAAAGTTCGACCGCCCCCGCAGCGCTGAAACAACAGATGGGCTCAAAGAAACATTGCCACCGCCATGCATATAGCTCATGCCCAAAACACACACGCAAGTGCTCCAGCATGGGCTGCTTAGATGCTGCAAGTGTGGGAAGAGCACATACCAGCCGACATACCCACAGGCACTTGGATTGGCAACAAGCAATTGCTTTGGCTAAGTTTACCATTGATGAGCTGGGGTCACGTGGGCACGTTGCAGAAATCTTAGCATTTGTCCGCTGCAAGTTGCCACGCTCTTGGCAGCTGCGGTTGGGCATGGCCACATTACCGAAGAGGACACACGCACAAAAAGCTTAACCTTTTAGACAGCACACTCCAGCTGGAATTTCGGATGCGCCCAGTGCGTTGGAATATCCGCGCATAACCAAAGCAACACCACCGACCTAAATTGCTCGTGGGAAACACGCGTTCGCACAATGCCGCGTCACGCGCCTGCCAGAGCACAAGAGCAAATGGATCCCCTTTGTTGCTGCGTTCTGCTTCGAACTGGTTTGGTCATTCACTCCCCTTCCATAGATGTTGGACCAGTGGGATGGAGCTGTTTGTTTCTGCGAGGTGCTATGAACCGTCCCAAGCATGAAGGCAAAAGGTGGAATGACTAGTCAACATGTTTGTTTCGCCACTGGCGGAACAGGGCCAAGCAGCGCGAGGAATTGGAACACGCGGGTTGCAGCTTTGCAAAGCGACGCAGCCATTGTAAACATCGGAAAGCGTTGGAAAGCGTCGGAAATCTCAGAAAGCACCGGAACTTGCCAAAGTTGGAGTCACAGGCTTGAAGGACAAAAGCGTTGGAACGGCGTGGGGTATAAATTTTAGAGTAATCGAATGCCCTGGAACGAGTGAGAAAGCAACGGCAATCATTGTCAAATGGAGGGCTGGAAGCGGGTGGCAGCATGCAAAAAGAACTGGACAACAAAAAGAAGCTGTTCAAAGCGCTGCTGAAAACACGAAGAGAGCATGCGCCAACCGCACATCAAAACACTTTTCATGGTCTCATGGCCCGCAAGTATGCATCCTTCGGAGCGTCGGGGCGTCAGGCACAGTATTTGGCCCCAGGTTCTCCAATGCAAGACCCGGGTTCTCCAACGCACACCCCAAAGATTCTTAAACCAGGTAGCCACCTCGGGGCTGTTGTTTGGGGTATCGTCGTTGGAGGGGTTGGGCCTTGTGTGTTAACCCTGGATGAATAAACCCTAGTTGATTAAGGCGGTCTTTGATTCACCACTTTGGTGGAAACACCCCGAGTGGACGGATTGATTGATGGGGGGGGGGGGGGGAATCACAGCATTAAATGGCTGTAGTTCAAAAATAGGTACCCTAAATGGAGCCTTGGTAAATGGAACCAGGGGCTAAAACCTGCCATCCCTCGGTGGCTTCATTTTGAACCATACCCAAATCTCCATGGCACCGGGAGAAAGTTCTTCCGAGTTTTCTCCCGCGCCTACCCGCACTTGCGCAGCGATGCAGTCCATGAAGCCCCAGGCCCAGCCCGCGGACGACGAGAGCAGCAGCCAGATTGGCACCGGAAATTGCCCCAACTTGTCCTCCGGGTCCCTGTTTTCTCAACACCGAAAACACAGCTCAAAACAGGGGCACCCAAAAAAGTATGAGGCTTGCTAGTGATCTTCTTCGAACACGAACAACTTTTTGGTGGTGAATGGGAGAAACATGGACACCCAAAAAACCAAAACAACACGCCGGTGATTTCAGCCTGGCAATGTGTATTTCCCGTTTGGCCAGTGAATAGAGAGTTAACCAACAGTAAACCAATCAGCTTGGGGCTCCCCTACTTTGAAAGTATGTCCCCTGTCTTTGTGGGGGAAACTCACCCCCGAACCACGATAATCGCCAGACTCCCGAGGATCGTTTGCAACGCGTCCTGCAAAACCTTACACAAACGGTGTGGGTTGTTTGGTTAAGGTCCTTCAGTGCGCCGGCCACCGTGGAAGAAACACACTGTTCGAAGGCCTCCTCTGATCCAAACCACAGGCGAATGCATTCTACCTCCGCGCGGATGGAGCTGGGCCGCGAAACGCGAAGAGCTTTGGTTGGTTGAAACGGCACATGACAGAAGCCCAAAAAGCAAACAGTTTAGAAAGGTTCCCCACTCTCAAGTGGCTCTTAAACCAAAACTTCCCAGCAGCCACCTCCTTTCTCGGGGCAACATGACACCTTCAAATGAATCAGTTGGAGTGGGGGGTTAAAGAAACCCCTGGCAATGGTGCAAGAGCCAGGCGATCACATGGCTGATCTGTCGGGTGATTGTGATCGCAGCAATAGCAGGTCGCACGCTGCAGTCGGAAGTCCTGAATCTGGGAAGTCACGTCCTGGAGCTTGCGGTAGTAGTTGAAAACCAAGAGTTCCACAACGAAAGACAGAATGAATACCACGCACAAGGACGAGAGTGAAGTCACAAGGGGCGCGTCAGATGGCGTTATCAGGCTTGCCAACATCATTGCCACCACAGACAAGTGGTTGATGTACATAACCAGTAGGAAAAGTGGTAGGATTGCCACGCGATGTCCAGCATGATTTCCGTGGCGTTTGAGAAACGCTGCAAGCTCAAAGACGCACCAGAGTCTTTGGATCCAAGAAGAATCCCAGAGAACCAGCAAAGAGTCTGACTGACTCAGACATGCCCCCAGGCTCAGCATTCCTGCTGCTTTCAGCTTCTTGTCGGATTGATGTATACAAAGTGCGTCCACCCAAACAGAGGCCTGACTCCTCCACAAAAACAGGACCTCGCAAAAGGTCAAAAGGCCGGCTTTGCTCAAAAATATATCCAAAGGAAAAAGAGAAACACACATACTATTCAGCAAGCGGAAGCGCAACTGAGGCGCGGAATAGAAGAGCAAAGTTGCTGTGCACAGGCACCACGCTCCCATAGGCACCATGCCAGGGGGCCCCATCATTGGCTGCCGAAGGTTCCCGGGCAGCAGGTCGCAGCAGCATAGCACACACGTAGCCAGACCACCCAGCGCTGCAACGACGTTGGCGGGAAGATGGTTGTACCAAAGCAGGAGCAACGCAGTCCTTGGTTCTAGCAGACCCGAAAAAAGCGAACTTGGGAAGATTGGCTAAACTTGGCTAGCCATGCTTTGCCAACTATGGAAAGCTGTCTCAAAAATGCGACCGCCGGCAAGCCCAGCGGACGAAGTGACTGGAAAAGAGCCTCACCTCTTGACGCAGCATATGACTGAGGATTTGTGCGGTAGAAATGTCTTAGTTGGTAGGTCACTCACCAGAATCAATCAAATATAGCAAGTTGTAAACTGAGACGATGGCAAAGCATGATACCAGGAATCCTCCAACAAAGCTGGATGGCGGAAGTTTCTAGCCAATAATGTGCCTATAGGAGATGCACTGTTTTCGTGGAGTATCTCTTCTCTTCTCTTGTTTCTCTTCTCTAAGCATCTGTGTCTTTTGTCTTCTCTTTCTCTTTCTCTTCCTCGTGCTACTTTTATTATTCTTTCCCTTTCTCTTTCTCTTTCTGTTTTCCTCTCTCTCCTTCTCTTCCTCTTGTTTCTCACTCTGTCTCTTTCACTTTCTCCTTTGCTTTCTCTTTCTCTTCCTCTTTTGCTTTCCTCTTTCTCTCTATCTTTCTCTTTCTCTTTTTATCTGTCTCTATCTCTTTCTCTTTCTCTTGTCTTTTCTTTTCTGTATCTTTTTCGTATCTTCACTTCTCTATTTCTTTCTCTGCTTCTCTCTGTCTCATTCCCTTCTTCAGTTAACTCCCATATTTCTTTCTTCCTTTCTTTACGCTTTCGTTCTTGTTTTCTTTCTTTTCGTCTCTATGTTTTATTTTTCTGTTTCCTTTTTGATGTTGACTATTTACCTTCTTTCTTTCTAGTTTTCCTTCCTCCCTTCCCTTGTCTTTCTATTTGTCCTCCTTTCTTCATGTATTTTGTGAATTTGTCGCTATTAATTTCTTCTTGTTTTCATCACTTCTATCTTTCTTTCCTTGGTTTCTTCTGAATTTCTTCCCTTTCTTCATTTCAATCTTTCACTCTGTGTCTCCCTCTCTGTCTCTCTTTCCAAGTGGTCTATCTACCTATCTACCCATCCATCTATCTCTCTGCAGCTGGCCTTGCGAAAGTGCTGCGCCTGCCACGAAATCTGCACCTCGGGTTGCGCAAATCACGCGCCTGCCCCCGAATCGGAACGCAGCAGCTCGCGCATCCTCTCCAATGTGCTTCGCACACCGTGCGACTCACATTCCCAACGTGCTGCGCCTGTCACGAGTTCTGATGCCCATGGGAACAAAAAGCTGCGCCTGCCACGAAATTTGCGCCTCTGGTTGCCAAAGCGCTGCGACTGCCACACGATTTGCACCCGCGATCAGACATTGGGCCACTTTCTAGACCGCGGCAAACCCGCGGCCAGACCGCGGCGAACACAGAGTCACGAAGAAGCCTCGCGGCAACACAGTGCAGCTATAGGAGAGTATAGGTGGATAGCCAAGATACCGGACACTTAGTTCTCTCCTAGCATCTACCGTTTCTTTGTATACGAAAATGAGTAAGATGCAAAACATGAAAATAACAAATAAATAAGCCACACATGTAGATACAGCAAAAAAGGGACAGAACATACAAACAAACATGCAAAATTGGTTCTTTTGTTATTGAACAAAAGAGACATACAATAAGTTTCGGGGGGGGGGAAAGCAAGGAGCCAACATGATGTAAAGAGCTTGCAAAGAACTTACCCTGCAGCAGACAAAATTTTGCAGCCGGGCGAGTCAATAGTTGAGACATTCGCGCTGGAACTGCGGAATAGTGTCGCATGCTAGCTAAAGCCCCCGTTGCATACCTTCGTACCAAGATTCTCGCCGCGTCGGGCCTTACGTGCCCTTAAAACCTTGGCCAGGTATACGATCATGATGGACATCATCTTGGCGGAAAAAGTTAAGCGTCTGGTGCAATAGAATACTTGTCTGGGCATCCACGATCATAAGAACGGGGCGTAGCTTTGCAAAGAAGAGGTTTGGGGGGGGGGGGGGGAAAAAATGGTTATAAGGGGGGCCCTGGGGTAGGGTATTTTCAATTCAAGGTTTCAGGGGCAGGGTTCATTTTCAACAAGCAAACCATTTTGCCCAAAACACCAAGGGGGATTGTGGGGAATTTTCCTGAATTTTCTCAACATTTTTTTACAATTTTTTCATTATGAAACAGTCTAAGATTTCATCATTTTCAAGGTTCGGGTTTCAGACAATTTTAAGGCTTTCTGGGGGAATACAAGGATTGTTTTCACAACGCGACTTCGCTCCTCGCAGGTCGCTCATCCTGAACTTTATGGTCGTTGCTGTCGACTTCAAGGGCGGTTCTTGGGTTGGGTGGGTCTGTGTGTAGTGTGTGTTTCTTTCTTTTTATGTGCTCATCTTGTTCGTCATCAACAAAAGGTGCGCCTTGCTTGTTTATGCAGTCAATATTGTCTCACTGTGCGCTTTGCATGTTGTGAAAGATGTTCCAACAGACCTGTCAGCTCAATAGCAAGATTGAAAGTGTAGCAGTGTGCCGCGCTCGTGTGCTCCAAAATGGCACCAAAGATGGGATACAATACCATCAACGAGGATGCTGTCGATGCCGAGACAGAGGCGTTGATTGTCCGCTTGATTGCGATGGAACTTGATGAGATACCAACTTCGCTGTCAGGGAGTTCAACCGAGACACTCGTTGAGGTTAATGACAGGATGAAACAACAAGCGGCGAACATCATTGCCCACCAGAAGTTGATTGAAAAAGAGATCACAACCCGCAACTCACAGAAGAAGGAAGAGAACAAGATGAAGGAGCACACACTTGTCTTCTCGATTACAGGCACAGGCTTCACTATGTCCTTGCAGGTTTCTTTCGGCAGCACTCTGTCGGAGGTCTACAAGGCCATCATTAAGGTCATTAACCGGAAGCTCGCAAAGTTCAACTTGAAGTTGACCAACTCCATGTTCAAGAAGCTCAACTTGTCCTTCGGCGGCAACACCATTGTTCGTCACCCTCGCACCCTGTTTGGAAGTGTGGTAAAGCACAATGACATGTCGCATGTCTTCAATGTCTCCTTCTCTGATGGCATTACCAGCCAGCTCAACAACATCTACGAGAAGCACTTCGCAGCGGAGGAAATCGTCGTTGATGATGCCGTCGTTGATGACGATGATGATGAGGCTTCCGACGGAGAAAATGACTCCATCATTAGCAATGAGCCCAACTGATGAGAAGTGAGCAATGTCTGGTCGCTGTACCCCCTCTCAAAGTATATGTTAATCTGAACAACCTCACAGCTGTGTTGATTGGGGAGGTTGCGACAAATGGCAGTTGCTTGGGTAGGGAGGAAACCGCTTTCACAAACAGATGCCAGATGAAAAAGAGTCTCTTCAATATCCAATGTAATCACACTGTTGACTTCCATTGTCTCGTCATACCATTGATGTGCTTTGTCTCACACAGCGTTTTGGCTGAACCTCGGTGTCCCTCTTTGCTGTTTGCTTCATCTTGTGGAATGGCTCGCCATCGTGGTGTAATCAACCGCTACTTCAAGAGCAAGGAGGCTGTGATGAAGGATGTGACGAAGTCTTCTTTGAAGAAGATGAAGGAGAGACACGCTGAACTACAACCTCAAAATGAAACAATGACAATGCCAGCGCCTTTGTCATCAGCTTGTCAACCCATTATTGACCAACTTCAAAATGTTCGCTCTCATCTTGTTGAAGGTCGCAGTGTGGTTGAGGAGATCTTGAACTCTCTTGATGATAACCAACTTCAACGGGTCAAGAATGTCTTCAAGGGCAGGTCAGCATACAACGAAGACAAACTTTATGAGGTTGCCGCCATCGTTGTCAAGGAGTTTGAACAGGTGGATGAATGGCGGGAGTATCTGCTTGTGCTCAAATCTCAAATTTTGGAGGTCTTCATTGAGTGTTTCCTTCGTGAGTTCCATTCAGAACACGGGAACAATGTCAATTACAACATTGAAGCTTTCAAGTGTCTCTTGGAAGAAATCAGCAGTTATAGGAGGCGATTGAGAGGTAGTGGTTCAAATGAACCAAATGAGCGTGAGGGTGCAAATTGTGCCCTTATGTAAGATTTAAAGAGCAATCTTGACCATTCACGGAAACCCGTGAAAAAAACACATTCATTCACGGAAACCCGTGAAATCATTTCACAGAAACCCGTGAAAAAAACACATTCATTCACAGAAATCCGTGAATGGTATTTTGTGGTTGCTCTAATTGGTGGGTTGTAGCATCCGTTGCTTTTTCAACCCTACATTTAATCAAAGCCCTTTAAAAAGGGATTGCCGTCAATCTCAAAGAGATTAAACATGAAAAAGACCGATTGCACCTTTGATGTGTCCACCATCTTTTTTTTGGTGAAGGGTCATGAAAAGCATCTGTCGCCTGCCAGGTTGATGACGATGAGGACTTCTTCGGTGGTGGGCTCTCAGTGTGTTTATTTTTCAGGTGTTCACCCAAACTCGTTTTTTTTTTTTTTTTTTTTTTTTGGGGTTGTCCCTCAAACTCGTTTTTGGGGTGTCCTCCCAAACTCTTTTGGGGTTGTCCCTCAAACTCGTTTTTTGGGGTGTCCTCCCAAACTCTTTTGGGGTTGTCCCTCAAACTCGTTTTTGGGGTGTCCTCCCAAACTCTTTTGGGGTTGTCCCTCAAACTCGTTTTTGGGGTGTCCTCCCAAACTCTTTTCGGGTTGTTCCCTAAACCCTCACATCAACAACATCCATAACCTCAATCCCAGACCCACCAGCAACCCACCCCCCAAATATACTTAAAGAGAAAATACCATATATAGTATAGAGAAATGGCAGGGGAATACAGCACGGGTTCAGTAATTGAATATTTAATATCCAATAATGAAGCAACCATAAAAACAGGGAAGAATAAAAAACCATTGAAAAAACTAATCATCAACAACAAAGAATACTATTACAACAAAGACAAACCATTATCCTCATCACTTCAAAACAAACTCAATCAAGTCAGCAACACACAAGGTTTCAAACGATTTCATCTTCTAAAAAAAGCATCA